CATTTGCCTGTTGGGCCAGTATGTGGTATATATAATGTACATTACCTGATTAGAAAATAAAAAAACATAGAGCTGATTAACTGCAAGTCAAAATGCAACAAAACTGATATTTTAACCAAAAAATCTACTTCGACAAATCTATTTCTCTTTGATAGCTAATGAAGCTTGGCATTTTCCTTGTAGGTGGCTTGTTTTTAAAATTTTAAACATTTAAATTAGTTTTTTTTGGGGGGGGGATTGCATGGCGTTTTTATCCTAGCATTTTAAAGTGTAACTTGAGGAACATTTGTCATTTGAATTTTAACTTTATAAATATTTTTCCAAAAGTAGAAATCAAGGATTCTTCTTTCAATGCCCTCATGAGTATACAAGATTTTTTTCAAATGTGTTTAGGGCTTTGATTGTCCATAGAATTTGAAGAATTACCTGTGTTTTCAGCGAAGCATCTACAAATGCAGTCTGAAACAATGGCTCTAATTTATGTACTCTTTAATCTCTTACGCACAAGTAATAGTTAAATGTAAAGTTTTTCTTTCTTATTTTCAAAAGTGGTTAGACCAGTTTATAGCTTTTGTACCCTTCTAGCAACATTAATGATTCTGTTGTTGGTGGATGGAGGGCTGGACTTGTAGTAAGGAAGACCTGGGTTTAAATCCTGCCTTCAGTAGATAGCTGTGTGACCCCTGACAACCTTTCTCAAACTTAGTGTCCTAATATGTAAAATGGGCATAATAATAATACCTACCTCCCAGCTTCCATGAAGATAAAATGAGGTATTAGTAAGCACTTTGCAAAACCTTACATTTCTATAGAAATTTTAGCTATTATTATTATTATTATTATTTTTGTTATCTGCTAGTTTTGTGAATGAGGTAAAAACTCAGCTGTTTTGATTTGCATCTCTTATTAGTTATTAACAATAGTCTTCTATATAGTTGCTAATAGATTGAAATTCTTATGAAAACTTCATGTCTTTTGACCATTCATTTCTTGGAGAATGGCTTATTTTTTCTATTTCTGTTAGTTCTCTGTGTATCTTAAATATAGACTCTTGCCAGAGATATATAATGCAAAGATGTTTTCTCCCAATTGACAGCCCTTCCTTTTATGCTAGCTGCATTGATTTTGCTCATTACAAACACTTTACAATTTCCTGTAATTGAAATAAATTTGTTTTACCTTTTGTACAAGTTGGCTATGCTTTGGTTAAGAACTCTCCACCTAATCATGACTATGAAAGATACTTGATCTTGCTCTAATTTTTTTATGGCTCAGCTTTCCATGATGAGGGTTTTGTATCCATTTTGAGCTTACTATATATTATATATATATATATATTTTTATATACATACATACGTATATATGGTATATGTTATAACATATTGATATAAACTCAATTTCTGCTGAACTGCTTTCCAGTTGTAACAGTAATTCTCGTCAAAGAGTTCTTCCTAATTTATTTTCTTGGGTTTATTTTAATGACCTACAAGTTTAAGGACTCTGTCTAATGAACTGAAAGAATATATTTGCAGCCTTGGAAGTTGTATGTGGACCCTTTTTTCTTATTTCTATTGGACTGATTGTAACCTAAAACCTTTCCCCTTTCATATTTATTGTTTGGCATGTGTAGACCATTTGGAAAGTTTTTTTTCCAGTAGAAACAGGATTTTTCATCCTTGCTATAGTTGATGAATTATCTGTGTGTGACAGGGACTTAAGTTTGAATTACCATTAAGTCATCAGAGATAACATTTATTATTTCTTCTACTCATTTCTTTTCTGTTCATCTATTTTTGTTCCTTTGCTAACTTTATTTTTATGTCTATGACATTTAAATGTTCCTTATTTTGAATCTCTATGTCGTACTCTAGGCTTTTTGGTACAGAAGGCCCTGTGTAAATTGAAAACAACAAAAATAGACATGTAAGTATAGGTGGCCCTTGCTTGCGCTGTGGAATAATTTTTAAGGATAATTTGAGGGAAAGAGAATTTCTGTATAGATAATGTATGATGTACCCTTTGACTTCTACTCTAAATTTGAAGATATTTCCCTGGAGACAAACAATCCTTTGGTATGCTAAGTTGAAGCCTTTTGGTAAAGAATAAGGCCTACTGTACTTGATCTGCCAGTCTGTCTGTCTTGTTTCTTCATTTATAAAATGAAGGCATTGAATTAAGAGACCTCAAAGTTCTCTTCTAGCTTTAAATCTGTGATCCCATGGTTATATTTGATGTGCTATTTCATATACTTTAGTGTGTTTGTTGTACTTTCTAAGGTCTATTCGTGGCTTTTGTATCAGTGCAAAACTGGAATGAATGATGCAGTGGGAAGTCCCCTGTGTTGGGATTTGGTATTTAGTTAAACTGCTGTTAAGCAGAGACTGCTGTATGCAAGGTGCTGGGCATTAAAAGACAACCAAGTCCCTTACTTAACGGAATTTAATCTACCTAAACCTTCCTTCTACTCTTGAACCTGTCATCATGTAAGCTTGTGACGTTTAATCACTTCTTTGGGCTTCTGTTTCCTCAATACAACTTGAAAGAGTTGTTCTACTGTGTCAAAGGTTCTTAACCTGGTATGTATACTACCTTACCCACCCAAGGAGTCTGGATGGATTTCAGGGGGTCTATGAATGTGGATGGAAAAAGCAATATTTATCTTCATTAGGTTTAAACTAAAATTCAACATTTCATTCAGTTATTTAAAAAAAATAACATTCTGAGAAGGAATCTACAGGTTTTGCTGAACTGCCAAAGAGGTGGGGGTGGGGGAGAGATACAAATAATGACTATATGATCTTTCTCTTCTTCATCAGTGCGTCCAAGATCCCTTCCAGTTCTAAATCTATGATGAATGAATTTAAAAATGAAAAGCTATATTAAGTATTTACTGTGTTTACTGTATTTAACATGTTAGCACTATGCTAAGAGATGGAGTTACTAAACAAAAAGCAAAGACAACCGCCCTCAAGAATCTTATATTATGAGAGATAGACTGCATAGTGCCAAAAGGTGTTGGGTAGGAAGGGACATTATGGTATAATTAAGATGGTAAGTAGTATTGTAGAGAAGTAGATTGACACACCCTCTCCAGGGACAGTGGCAGCATTGATTTGATCTTATTCTGTTTCAAGAAATGGATATGTGTGTTGGGGTCAGGGGTACCTGCCATCTATCAGAATTTTTTCCAGGGTAGGAAGGAGGTTGAAGTTGAGAAGAGGAGAAGGAAAATATTTGAGCGTAAGGAATGATGCTTATATCAGGTTATTTGTAAAAGCTGAGCTGCAGTGTCTCTTAGATGCTATTGCCTAACAGATCATATTCTCCAGTCTGAATATTAATTGGGTCTTTGAGATTTCAAGGTAGGTAAAATGAATTAGTGTGATTTACAGAATTATAAAATGAGGGCTACAAGTAAGAGAAATGCTGGACTTACAAAGTCCTCTTACCTTCATAAAAATATGGAAGTATGAAGAATATGCAAAGTATTAATGAAACATTTTGTGTTAATTATGAAAGGGGTATATTTTAGGTTGTTTGAACGACCGCACTGCAAATTTTTTGTTGTTACAAATTTGGCCTTTGCTCACATTAAATACAGGAAGTCTTTATTATCCGAGGATATTGGTACTGGAAAAGTCCATATAAAGTAACTCAATTTAGAAAAAGGACCAACATTTCACACTAAATGATGGAAGGGAAAAAACCTAAAATTTGATAGAAATTCTCTTGATAAATACAGATTAAAAATTATGAACAATAAATTGATTTTATCTTTAGCAAAATTTAGGTTATAATTGCACCTGTGTGCTAGAACAAATGGAATGAATGAAGTTTTGATTTTTTTATGAATGAGTTAAATTTTTTTTTTGTTGGTAGTATTTCTAATAAAATTGTGTGATATCATGAAATAACGTCTTCCACTTTTGACTTTGGAAGCATGATCGTTTTTGGAAAAATATTTGAGGGTTCTATCAGTTTTCTTCAGGGATTCTCTTAGTCTTTTGATACCCAAATCATTCTTTTTTGGAATTCCTTGCCTACGGGTCAACTACTGACTTAAAATGAAGACCTTGGTGTCAGTGGGCAAGAATAGTAGCTAGTGTAAAGCAAGGATGGCAGTTTGATTGGGAATTAATTTTATAATTGGTTCATTAGTGATTTTTTTCTTGTTATGTTGATTTTTACTTTGCTTTACAACATTGAAGGGAGACAGTGGATGCAGAACTGATCCTGGATTCACTAAGAGCTGGATTCAAGTGCCCTGTCTGACACATACTTAGTGAGTGAGTAGGCTCCCAGTACAGCGCACTGTTCGTAAGAGCACAAACTGGCAGAATTAATGATTTTTCTTGCCAGAGGGAATTTCTTCATTAGGATTTCCTTATATGAATGAAATAATAGGTCCAGACTAAAACAAAATGTACCCTCATGAATATTCCTGTAATTAGAAACCCAGGTAACTTCTTTTCTGTGTCTGTATTTTTAGGTGGCCTGTTTTTTTTTTTTTTTGGAGGTGGGGAGGGTCAAATAAACAGTCCAAGTTGTAAATCGTTTCTTTTAAAGAAGCCTCATACACATCGCAAACATTTTTCCCTTCCAAATTGGGATGTCTATTTTCATGTTAGATGACATTTACTTATATGAAATCTCATCTTCCAGAAAAAGTTTTTACTATGTTGATAATGCTACTATTTGAAGGTGTAGAAATAATTAGCTTCTACTAAGTTCATTAAAAGTGTGAGCTTGTTTACTATATGGTACCACATTAAATATGAATAATAAAAGAAAAACTTAGAATTGGAAGCTTAATGAAAAATCTTCTTTAAATATGATGCATATTTTGTCATACTTTATTATGATGTGTATATTGGCTTTTGTAATCTTGACTGTTGGCCTTTTAAAAACATACCTAAACTTCTGAAAAGATATTTTAAAATTCTGTTTGTTTTCCTCTTCTTGGAATTAGACTTAAAGGTGCACACTACTTTCTTACGTAGGTTGTGGGTGCTACATGTGTGCTTTCAGAGCTGTAGTGTGAGGAAGCTTGAAGTGGGATGGCAGGACGCCTTCATCCTTATGACAGTAACTCCAGTGATCCAGAGAATTGGGATCGGAAATTGCATAATAGACCTCGTAAACTGTATAAACACTCAAGGTAGGTGGAAAATATATACTTCACATATCAAATCTATGATAAACTGAGTATGAAGACTAGTGCATTTGGTTGTAGCATCCTTATTGGAGGAATAGAATGTTACAAATGCAAGGCAAAATAAGTATTTTCATTTAGATAATTTTGGTATTCCTGTTAGGATTTTTATTTTCCAGGTAATGTTAGAAATTACTTAATTGGTTACATGTTTGAAAAGTGTGGAGAGCACTGGGCTGAATGTCAGGAGTTGGTCATTTAGCTATTATAAAGCAAGGAGGTTGGAGCAAGTGATCTCCAAGTTCTGCAATTCAGTTTCATGTTCCCTAGAACTGGACCTTGCAACCCTCTTATTGGTATAAATTTGCTTTTGCTAATTAATGCCAGTGCTAAGTTATGGGAGTTAGGGCATTTCAGCTCTGCATTAGTTAGCATTAGCTGTGTGACCTGGGGTGTTACACTTAACCTGTCTTGGGAACCCTCAGTTCCTTATCTGTAAAATGGAGATAACAATACTTGGCCTAAGTATACAGCTCTGGGTGGTGGCTGTGAGAAAGCAGTCTGTAAGCCTTGAAATATTAGAGATATTTGAAATTAGTAATGAAAAGTCTTTAATATAAGTGATGATTTATAGATCTGAATTTGTATTTGCCCCCTGTTTTTTTCAGCCTTCATTGGTTTATGTGACATTACATTTTTTATCCTAATTGCAAAAAGATTTTATTGTTGTTGAGAGTGAGCTCCTGGTTTGTTGTTAAATTAAATATGGGATACTTTTTAAAATGCCATCTGAAAATTCTGGGTTTTCCCCCTCTTGTTATATGTGTTTTGTAGAAAGTAAGTTTTGGTCAAGGCTACTCTTAATTATCAGTCAATAAGTGCACTTATAATAATTAAGCACTTGTAATATATTCTAGTCACTGCGTTAAAGATACAAGAAAAACAAGAGTTTATGTTAAAATATGCAAGAGATCCATCTGCATTAAATAAAAGGTACCTTTTCAGAAACTATAGCTTATCCGTTCTTAAAAGTTAGCACCTATAGAGGGGAACAGATATCTTCCAGGTATTTGGATTAGAGGCCAAAGAACAGCTGGTTCTCTAGAGCTGGATGTTGTACCCCTTCTAAGAAGTACAGTTGGAGAGTATGAGCTTTTTGTGGCCTCTATATCATTGCTCACTCACACATAACCTTTAGTCTACTTTCATTTTAACTGAAATATACTTTGGCTTTCCTTAGTCAGAAATTTAATTGAGAAACAACGTTGTATGGTGGAAACAATAGTCAGTTTAGAGACAGAAGTCCCTTCTCTGCCATTTAGTACTTTTTTTTTGATTTGTGTGCAAGTAATTTAATTTCTTGAAACATGTTTTCTCTATTTACTGTGCCACCTAGTTACCCTTGTTTGGCACATTGTAAGTGCTATATAAATATTGTTGTTATTATTATGGGGGGGAGATTAGTGTTAAAGAATCAATTAGCTATTCATAATAAAGGATGTGACACAAGTTACACAGTGCTATTTATGTTATGAAGGAGCAGTGTAATATAGTAGATAGAGAGCCACACCTTGAAGTCAGGAAGATGTGTCTTAGGTCCTGCTTCAGACACATATGCAATCTCTGTTATTCTGGGCAAGTCAGTGTTCTACACAACTCTCTAAGGCTAATAGATGGAGAAGATGCTTACCTATATTGGTAGAAGAAATTTCTTTACCTGAGAGTTCCCTATACCAGTGAAACCAGAGGTCCAAACCTACCCTTTGTTTAGTTTTTTGACTTGTTTAACTTTGGAAAAATATTATTAAAGATGTGTAATTTTGATATTATTTTATTAAAGCAGGCATTCAAGGTTGATTAAAAATGGTATGTAGAAAGTTAAGGAAAACATCGACTTGTTCCATTTCTTTTTCTAATAGACTACTGAATATTTGTATCGAAGTGTCTTCATAAAACAGTATTGAATAAATACTGAAATAATGGAAATTAAAAATTGAGGCTTGGTGTGATTTGCTAAAAATAAGTAATATTTAATCTGAAATACTGAATTGTGATAAATAATATCATTAGGGGATTATTTATTAATTATTATTAATTATTTGAGGATTACCTTCTGAACCTGTGATAACTACTTTCAAGGAAATGGGCCACTTTCCAGGTCTGAGAGGGTCTCACCCCAAGATATAGTTGCTGTCATGTGTTTATTTATTTTAGTGTTCATTTGAGGCTGTTTTCTTAAATACTAGGACTAGCGAAGATATGTTTCTTTTGTTATATTCTTGTAAAGTAGGGGTGCTTTAAGTCCATGGCAGATAGTTTTGCTTTGATATATATTTTTCAATAAACTTAAAATGGGCTGAGATTGAGAATTATGGAGTTTATTAGCACACCAGAGAAGCTTAAGAATCAATACATAACAAAAGAATGTGAGGTTTTAAGTTTTGGTGTCCATTATAACTGCTTCCTTTTCCCATCCTGGAGTCTATAACTGATGCTTGTTTCTTCTTTGAATATATTCCACTAAATTTAGGACTATATTTGTGTCATCTTCTGTTCATCTATTTCCTTCCTATGGGCAAACTTCCCGTTTCTCCTCTTTCTTTCTGCTGTTATGTAGAGTTCTCTGTTATATAGAATTGTACTTTTAAAAGCTCAGTAAAGACAGCAGTGAAAACAAAACGCCATTCATTTGGTTTATAAAATATGTTTACGTATAATTCAATTCAACAAGCATTTATTAAGCACTTACTAAGTGCAAAGAGTATAGGAACATTTTAAAATTGCTGGTCTCATATTAATGTCATCACATACCATGACTGTTCCCAGTATTTATGCCAGGAGACTTTTATGTCCTTTTGTTTTTAGGCAGCCAGGGCAGTGGTTTACAGATTGGGTTGCTTGCTTAAAGGGCATGAAAGAAAAACAGGAGTTCACCATTAAATGACAAATGTTTGGCTAAAAACTGATCTCATGCAGCCTTATTGTACACAGTATTTTAGCACCAGTACTGGAGGTTTGTGCCAGAAGAATAACAGTTGAATTTGTGGACTTTATCATACCAGACAAAACCTTAGGACAACATATTTCGCTACTTTAAAAATTATAATATTTAAATGAGTTAAAACAGATTGTTCTAAGGACACTTCATTTAAGACCAGAATTATATACAGCCGTATAGTCTTTTAATGTTGCCCAATGCCTCTTTTTTCTTTCTTGTTTATCTTAATGGCTTTGCCTGAAGCTGTTAGCTGTAAAACCTCTTGGAAAATCTAGTTAATGCTTGTGTGCTTGTTTTGGAAATGATGAGGAAGGGGAAAAGTTGGAAATCAATGCCTTCTTGAAGAAATTCTGGCAAAGATTTCAGGTAGAAATAAGGATAGTGGCATGATAGCAAGGTAGTAGTCTTGGGGCTCATGAGAAAGAAGAAATTGGGAGAACTCTTCTGGAATTGATATATTTGGAGGCTTAACACTGGTAAGAGGTCCCGACATACATCATTATGTTATTTTGGGCTGTCCTGAGTGATACACTCCTAAAAAAACTCTCTAACTCAAGATACAATGGTAGTTAATTGTGCTAAATTTTTATTAAAATGGCATATTTCTGTAGAAAATGGATAATTCATTAATTATGTTTTAAATGCTTTCAGAACTTTACAAGCCAGTTTTACCATTTAATTCAGTTATTTTTCAGTTTGTCTCTAACTCTTTGTGACCCCATTCAGGGTTTTTTTTGGCAAAGATAATTGGAGTAGTTTGCCATTTCCTTCTCCAGCTCATTTCACAGATAAGGAAATTAAGGCCAACAAAGTTAAGTGACTTGCATATGGTCAGACAGCTAGTAGTAAGTGTCTGAGGTCAGATTGGAACTCAAGAGAGAGGACTTCCTGACTCCAAGCCAGGCACTCTGTCCACTGTGCCACTTAGTTACTCTTTGCTGCTTACTGACTGTCTGACTTTGGGCCAGCCAGTAGTCTCTTGGGGGCCTTAGTTTTCTGCTGAATAAATTATATATACAGAAGACTGGGTGATCTTAAAGTCCTCTTTCTAACCGTAGGTTTTATGACCTAGTGGATCAGAGGAACATTTGTACCTAGGAAGGGGGAAATAAACAACTATTAGCATTTCAGACAAAGGTCATTGAGTTATTGTAGATTGTAGTCAAGTAACACCTGTTCTTATAAACATGGCATTTGTTTTTGTAAACATTAATTTGAAAATAATTTTAAAAAGAAAATTTACCTGTGATATATAACTAAAATGGGCTGGAAAATGTACAAACCTAGGAGACAAAGAGAAATCTAGTATAAGTTTCCAGCCATGAGCTGACTAGAATGTTTGCAGTAATAATGAAGATTCAGGGAACATGTCAGGAAGATGAATCCTTCCCTTGCTTTATTTTTTTTCTGATGGCCAGTAATTTTTTTGGCTTAGGTAGTTAAGAGGATGGTATTGTTACTGAGAGAAATGAAGTAGTTCACAGAATTTTAGAGTTGGAAGATAGTTCAGGATTCACGTAGTCTAACCTCAATAGGAATTCTCTCTACAACATCAGAGTCATGCACTTGGAAGGATCTTAGAGACCATCTAGTCAAACTCACACTTAACCAAGAGTGTCTCCTACAACATCCCTGACTCATCATCATCTGATCTTTGCTTGAAAACCTCTGGTAAGGTCTGGCTTGCATCTACTGTATCATGAATTATTCTATTCCACCTTTATGTTAAATTTGAATTTTTTGTAACTTTCACTTATTATTTCTAGTTCTGCCTTTTGTGTAGCCTTCATATACATTTTGGGGCCACCACATGTCCTGACAAAACATTGTCCTTTAACCAATCCTTACATGCCTTGGAATCAAGGCCCTTTCCTGTCCTGATTGTCATCTTTTGGACGCTCTCCAGTTTATCAGTATCCTTAGTAAAATGTGGTGCTCAGAACTGAGTATAGTACTTCAGTGTGGTCTGAGCCAACCTGTTTGAAAATCTCAGGTGATATTGAACCCT